CCCCCCGACCTTCCCCTCCCCCTGCAGGTGGTGGCCGGGTTCAACCGGCTGCGGCAGGAGCAGCGGGGCCTGGCCTCGAAGGCGGCAGAGCTGGAGCTGGAGCTGAACGAGCACAGGTGGGGCAGGATCGGACCCCTCCTCCCCCGCGCTGAGCTGCCCTGGGGCAGCTGCTGTGGCCTCGCCTGGACCCCAACTGTGCCGTGGGGGCTCCCTGCTGTGCTGCACGTGGCCCTTCTCCCAGATCCCCCACGGCTCACATGGGCCGAGCCGGACATGGCGTAGCCCTGATCTTAGTGGCTCTGTATCTGGGCCATGCCCGGTGAGACGGGCCCCGCCCCTGCTCTTGCAAAGAACCCCAATCTCTGAGGCCCCGAGACGCTGAGGGCCTGGCCCAGGGTTGCACAGGGACTCTGGTGGAGTCAGGAATTGAACTGGGGTCTCCCAAGTCCCAGCTGGCACCCCAAGAGGGCCATCCTTTTCAGCTGCCCGCGGGCACCTGCCTGCTGCTGCTTCTTGCCCGCCAGCTCTCCCTGCAGGGGATCCTGAATTGGATTCCACTGTGTGCTTCCTGGACTGGTCAGTGGGGCCAGATGGGGAAAGGAGGGGGCAGAGCTGGAGTCCAGGTTGTTGGGGGCTGTAGGCGGGTGAGCTAGGGTGCCTGGAGAAAGCACAGCAGCCAATGAAATGAGTCACCCCCTTGGTGGGGGGCGGAAGGAGGTTCTGGGCTGGGCTGCCTGGAGATCATGGTGAGAGCTGAGACCTTGGGAGAAGGCACCCAAAGAACCAACATGCCGTTGGAAATAATCGCTGGCCTAGTGGGCATTACCAGCCATAGCCAGGGTGATGGTGGCAGCATCTCATGGAGATGTAGGGCTTTGGCCTTGGCATGTGGGGCTTGCCTTGGGCTCTGATCCCATCGTGACTCTGAACACAGGGCCCTGGGTATCGGGTAAGCTGGGCCTGAGACTATCCCGTGTGGCCAGGCCCTGTGGATCTGCAGCCCTGGCCGTACGGTCTCTGTGGGGTCTGGAGGGACTTCAGCAGCGTCTGCCTTTCCCACAGCCTGGTCATCGACACGTTGCGAGAGGTGGACCCCACCCGCAAGTGTTACCGCATGGTGGGCGGGGTGCTGGTGGAGCGCACGGTCAAGGAGGTCCTCCCGGCCCTGGAGAGCAACAAAGAGCAGGTAATGCGGGTGCAGGGCACCACCAGGATCTGGGGAGGGCACTGCCCCCAAAGGCGGCCACACAGGCTCTCCTCTGGAATCCCGCTACGCTCTGAGCCCCACTGGTATGACTGCACCCTGTTTCTCTTGGTGATGGAGCATCTTCTCCATCTTGCTGGAGGGGCCATGATGTGATTAGTGCAGAGGTGAACAGGGCATTGTGTCTGGGAGTGGGGAGGTGCTGGACCACTCTCCATTGGGCTCTCTGAGGGAGAGAGCCGGAGAGGATCAGTGTCCACTGGATTTCAGGGGGAGTTTGGCCCCTGTGGAGCCTCCCAGCCCTGGGTCCCAGAGAGACCCTACCAAGCCATCCCTTGTCCAAAAGGAGCAATTAACCCCTTCTCATCCAGGGGGTAGCACAGAGTGTGAGTGGGGACACTGAGTCGCAAGTATTTTTCATTAAAATCTTACAGTTCCCACGTTTTCCCAGGCCGGGCTGTCACAGCGAGTCAGTAACTGAGACAGGAATAGAACCCAGGCGTCCGGGCTCCTGTGCTTGGGCTCTTCTCAATTCCTAATTTTCATCGTTGGTCTCTGGCAGGGCTGTGCTCATTGCTTCCCTTTCCCCTTCAGGGAGCTGGGAGCAGCAGTGCCTGCCTCACGGTGAGCACAGCTGCTGTCCCGTCGCTAACTGACCGACCCGCTGCCACACGCTCCCCTGCGATATCCCACTCCTGGCCAGTGTGGCCCTGATCTCCTCACTGGGGTGGTGGTGAAGGGGTTTCTGGCCATGCACACCGGCCTGGGGTTAAGTATCAGGGGGTAGCCGTGTTAGTCTGTATCTACAAAAACAACAAGGCCTGGGGTTAAGTGACCCTGCCATCATACATGGGGAGGAGCGGATGGCAGTGTTCAGCCTGGGATTGCAATAGACCAGGGGTGGGCAAACTATGGCCCGCGGGCCAGAGCCGTTTTAAGGCAGCCTGCGAACTCCCGCTGGGGAGCGGGGTCTGGGGCTTTCCCCGCTCTGGGGCACTGGGTTACGGGCCGCACCACATGGCTTGGCCCCACTCCGGTGCTCAAGCTGGGGTGCTGGGTCGGGGGCCACATCATGGAGCCCGGTCCCGCTCCGGCGCTCCAGCCAGGGCGCTGGGTCGGAGGCTGTCCCACGCGGCTCCTGGAAGCCACGGCATGGCCCTGCTCCAGCTCCTATGCACTCCAATGGGATCTGCCGGGGCAGTGCCTGCGGCTGGGGTAGCGTGCAGAACCGCCTGGCTCACCTCCGCATAGGAGCCAGAGAAGGGACATGCTGCTGCTTGAGGTAAGCGCTGCTCGGAGCCTGCACCCTTGAGCCTCTCCTCATGCCCCAAATCCCTGCCCAGGCCTGATCCCCCTCCTGCCCTCCCAACTCCTCGGTCCCAGCCCCAGAGCACCCTCCTACACCCCAAACTCCTTATCCCCAGAGCTCACTCCCCCAACCAGAGCCCTCACCCCCTCTCGCACCCCAACCCCAATTTTGTCAGCATTCATGGCCTGCCATACAATTCCTATTCCCAGATGTGGCCCTCAGGCTAAAAAGTGTGCCCACCCTAGGGGGGTGGAGGGAGGTGCGTGCCAGTGCCCGCCCTGCACCCCAGCCCTGACTGACTCCCTCCCTCCCTGCTTCCAACCCTGCAGATCAACAAAATCATCGAGACCCTGACCCAGCAGCTGCAGGCGAAGGGCCAGGAGCTGAACGAGTTCCGGGAGAAGCACAACATCCGCGTGATGGGGGAGGACGACCAGAAGCCACCGCCCAAGGAGAGCTCCGATGGGGCGGGAGCCAAGACCAGCTCTGCCGGGGTCCTGGTCTCCTAGGAGGGAGACCATTGTGTCCAGACCCCTACCCAAAGGACTTTCTGCATCCCTCCCCCTCCCTGACCTCTGAGGCTTAACTTTATTATTTGGTGTCGCTCTTGTAATATTTTTGTTGTTGTTAAATAAACATTTTTCTGTCACGAGCTTAGGTGAATGTGGGGCTGGGGGAGGGGCTGGACTGGCCCCCTAGAGGTTAGTTTTTGCCCACTGAGCAGGGGCACTGGCTACCGGGAAGGGATGGGTCCTTGAGTTCTGCCGATATTGCTGGTGTGGGAGCCAGATGCCACACTGGGGTTTTTATGCGGATGCCTGCTCCCAGGAGCTGCAGTGAGGCGCGGCTCTCGTACGCCAGCAAGCAGGCATCCCTCGCGGCCATGCCATAGCTGGATTTGAGCTGCTGGGTAGAAAGAACAAGGATCTGCGACCCACCACCAGGGCCTCCAGCCGGCCGACCCTCCCGCTTGCAGGAGAGGTCCTGGGAAGCTCCTGTCTCAGGGAGAGGCTCCTGTTCCAGAGCCCTGGCTGGTGGCGAATGACAAATGAGTCTAATCAGCCCCTGGCAACAAGTGGAGCCAGATGGCTGCCTGGCCGCAGTATTGGCCATGTGGAGGAATGGGAGTCAGGGTGGCTGCATCGCACCTGTTTCATTCCATGGGCATCTTCTCCCGGCTGGTCCCTGCCACCAGCAGGGAAAGTCACCGGGAGCCTTCCCGTTAGGGCTGGTGGAGAATTTTCCATCCACGGTTTTATGGAAAATCAGGGGGTTCGTGAAGAATTGTGTTCGGTCGGGACGCCTGCTCTCTGCAGAACTCGCCTCGGACGCTGCCAGGCAGCTACGCCCTACATCTGCCACGACTTGCTGCCTTCCAGAACTGAGAACAAGCAAGTCCATGCCCAGCTCCCAGCCACCTGCGGGCTCAGGAACCGAACGCACGAAAACCAAACCAAGGATGAGAGCGTTGGCCCTGCCCGCAGCACCCTCCGTGTCCTTAAAACCCCACGAGACCCGATGGTCTTGGCAGCATCTTCCCAAGGTCTGACTCGAGGCCAGGCTCTGGGATCCCTGCTGGATGCATGTGATGCTCATGGATGAAGCTGATTTCCCCAACTGTGGCCATTCTCTCCCAGGCGGCTCATCAGTGGAGGCTGCTCGGTTCTAGCAGAGCTCGGTGTCACGGGGACAGGTCTAGAGGCATCTCGGAGCTCGC